AAAAAAAAGAAAAGAAAAAAAAAAATATATATATATATATATATACCTAATTATCTGAAGAATAATGAAATGCATTCTAAAACTTTGTCGACTTCGTTCATATGTGCATGTATATTTGCGCGCGGGCGCGCGCGTGATTCCCAAAGGATGGCACGTAATTAATTCGAAATTAATATCGCATACGGTGTAATCAGAGCGATATATAGCAGGGTGCTGTGCAGTGCCGGCAACCTTCTCGCTCTAATCACACGTATTACTCTGATTGGCAACAATTGGTAACAATTGACGGGCGGAATCGAGTCTCGGAGGTTCCGCTACTTTGCCCGCGTTGTTTACGAGCAGAACTTCGAAACGTTACACCTTAATTGCGTGTCTACATGCTCGGAGAATTATCAGGGTTTCCTTCTTACGGCTGCCGCCTTGCTATTTCTCGTTAGAGACTTACGTACGTGAGAATTATAGCTTTCGGATATGTAAAAGTTTCTCCTCTTCTTATTCTCCCTCTCGGTGGAAAGGAAAAGAAAAGAAAAGAAAAGAAAAGAAAAGAAAAGAAAAGAAAGGAGAAACAAAAAATAAGATAAGATAAAAGAAAAAGAATAAAAAAAAAAAAAGAACACGGCTATAGACATAGATATTTTTATCGGTGAAAATTTTCCCTACCATGTAATTGAATGATTACATAAATCATATATGTATATATATATATATATATATATATATATTTCGTAACAACGAATATAAATTATATAAAGATTATAAATATTTAATAAATGAATAATTTATCTCTCGCATATTGACCACGTATATTATTATTACACGATGTACGATCTACACCTTTCAAAATTGACCGAGACTGAAATTTCCTTAACTTTCTATCCCCATCTGGCGTATGGTTGTTTGCTTTCCAAATACGGATATGCAAAAGAGAAAAAGTACCGGAGAGACGTATCGGAGAAGTATCGCATAGGATGAGTGAAACTCGTGCAAGAAAATACTCCTTATAATCTCTCATTTGCCTCGTAAAAAGCCCCGAACGAACGGATGTAACCCAGAGAAACAGCAACGCGTTTTACGAGCTCGTAATGCAACCGATGGAACATCGCTAGGGTATGTCCGACTTGTCGGTAAGTTATTACACAACGTCGTTATACACCAGTAATTTACTTCCTCCTTCTCCTCCTTTTCTTATTCCCCATTATTTTTCTTTTAGTAATTTTTTTCCTCCCTCATTCTAAAACCACCTCATCCCCCACCCCATCCCCCACCCACACTCTCATCCCACTTCATTTCAATCTTTCCCTTTTCAACGATTCACGATAATATCTTCCGCGTAAGTTAATCATGATTTAACTTTGCTTCAATGAATCTATCTTTGTCTATGGTTATTAAATTTAAATACAACCATTCATTCATACCACGAGTAGAGCTACTTATAGGCTCTTTTTCTTTTTGTTTTTGTTATTGTCTTTTACTATACTAAGTAATACCTAGCCTTTAATATAAATTTCTAAATCCAAGAAGAAATACTTACAATTAGTTAAAGAATGATACTTTCAATGGTTCGATCGACGACACGCAAATAATCCGCTTAAATACGCCGCAAGAAATATGTACTTACTGCGAATGATAGCAAAACGTAAATAAGTAAGAGCTATAGAACGACCTCGGAGTCAACGGGAATTCCAAGAGGCGTGTAAATATTTGTTTGTAAAAGACCTTTTAACGTCCTTTCTTCTGCTAGTTGTACGCCGAGAGCACAGCACTCGGTCGTTACTTAAAAACAGCCCATTACTCTTTTCTTTTTTTTTTCTTTTTTTCCTTCTTTTTTTCTTCTTTTTTTCCTATTGGAATACACTGTTGTTATTTCATTTACACGGTTCCGCGCGGTTCATTGAGTTTCAAGTATCTTCGTTTATGTATGTATATATATATATATATATATATATATACATAAATAAATATATATATATATATATACACAATATATATATATATATGTATACATACATACGTATATTATGGTGAGTATTATATTATTATGGATATATAATTATATATATATATATATATATATATATATATATATATTACATAATAATAGTATCGATCGAGAAAGTAATCATTGTATCCATTATAATTAATAATAAAAAAATTAAACAAAAAAAAAAGGAAAGAAATAAAAAACAAAAAGAAAATAGATAAAAATGAAGAGATGATATTCGATGAGAATAAAAAAAAAATAAAAGATTAATCGCACGACATAGGGCGAATAAATCTCAACGTAAGGATCGACATATAGATCATATTGTTAAAAAAAATTTATACGGCTCCATGTGGTTCATCGATTTTCAACACATCCTTCATCTATACATACATACATATATATATATATATATATATATATATATATTACGATAAGTATTATGTAGTTATAGTATCGATCTCGAAAATAAAATTGAATCGTCACTCGTATCCATTTTTATCCATAATTTATGATAAAAGAATAAAAATAAAAAAAAAGGGCAAACAAAGAATTGAAAAAAAACCCCCAAAAAAAAGCAAAAGAAAAAGAACTAAAAAGTAAAAATTAAGAGATGATATTCGATGCGGATGAGAGGGGAGAAAGAGAAAAAGGATAAAGAAAAAGAGATATTGATCTCACTACAGTGGCCTTCGTCGCAAATAAATCTCGGCGTAACGATCGGCACATAGATCGTTGCGAAAGAAATTAGTAACGCAATCCTTCAATTCGGCGAATATCTAATCCCTCAAAATTCCTATAATTCGTTCCCCGCTAATATCCTTTTCATCGAAATTATCGACTCGAAAGAGGGAAAAAGAAGATGGGTGAAAGGAGTAGAATCGATCGGTTCCTCTCAACTCTCTTCGACGCTGGCAAGATGTTCCTCTTTCAAGACTGCAACCAGTGACGTCAGCGGTGAGTTTGCGGTCTCCAAATTACAATATCGTTAAAACGAGCGAGTTGAGATCGTGCGCGGGTAGGTAAGTTCGAAGAGAAGAAGGAGAAAAAGAGAAGGGGGGGAGGAGGACCTTTTTCGTTGGCCGTGCGCGTTCCCAGAATAATGGCCTCCTGATTATATGCATTATATGGACCAAGATTGATACGATACGTAATAAAATAATTGAAATAATCACATGGCGCAACGACGATTCGCGGTACGTTAGATCGAACGATCGAACGTTCGATCGAACGAACGAACGAACGAACGAACGAACGAACGAACGAACGAAAGATCGATCGATCGATCTATCTTAACTTACGATGCTGACTTTTCGAAACGTGTCAAGTCCTTTTTCAAACTTTCTCTCTTTATCTATAATCAACTGGAAATATTAATGCGTATTTTATATACACTTATATGAATGAGAAACGAAAGAAAAATTAGAAAAAAAAAAAAAAGACAAAAGAAATATATTTTTTGTTGTTCTATTGAACGTACTTACGTATTAAATATTTAATACTAATCCACGAACGATATTTATAATCAAACGATCGACGCGCTTATTACGAGAGAACGACGTTTAATCAAAAATTCTTTGATAAATCGAAAAATATCTTATTTTAAAGGGCAATGATGTTCCACGCGCTAAGGCGTAGTCACAAGCGGCGCGCCCTTTTTCTCTTTGCCGATCTCACGGCGCCACTAAAGCACACATACGCAACTTCCTCGATCCTTTTATTTCATTCCTCGGCAATCTTAATATTATCCCACGAATTACGGTCTCTCTCTCTCTCTCTCTCTCTCTCTCTCTCTCTCACTCTCTCTCTTTCTCTATTGAGGGTGATTTACGACCCCATAGATACTCGCGCACGTATCACGAATTAGACTCGGATAATCGCGATCGGAATCCTTAAAATTTCTTCCCTTTCCTGGAACCCTTCCTTCATAAACATTTAGTAGAACGAATTATTTTCATTCTTTATTTCTTTGTCGATAAAAAATACGTCGAAATATTTCATTTCCTTTTTTCTTTTGTCTCATCAGAAAACAAAAAAACTTCCCCTATAAATCTAAAAGAAAAAAAAAAAAAAAAAAAAAGAAGAAAGAAAAAAAAAAAAAGAAGAAATATCATTTAAAATATCGTCTAATATTGCCAATGATAGCTAATGTAAACTCATATATGCATACACACACACGTATACGCATGATAGTACATGGACACAAAAACGTGACACTGCAAAATATTTCGAAGAGGATGATATCCATAGGAATGATCCATGTATCGCGCCTCGTATCGCGTCGGTCTTTGCCTTGTATCGTCAGATATATCCAGCTATGTATGTCGGTGTCATGACTCGTAGTCACAATGACGCTTCATAAACATAAACACTCGTCATCTTGTCCCGTCGAGACAACACGGACATTTATACCGAGTATTTAGGAACGTGTTATTCGACAGGTTTATATTATACTAACGACGTTTGTGAAATCACCATTTTCTTTTTACAATGTTTATTTTCTTTTTTTTTTCCCCCTTTTTTTCGTTTTCACTTTTTTCTTTTTTCTTCTTCTTCTTCTTCTTCTTCCTCTTAAACGTTAAATCCAATTTAAAAAATATAAAATATATTTCCGTGAGAGATGGTGATAGGTCCCGATCGAAAAAATTTTACACGAACTTTATAAGCGATCTCGTATTATTAGAACGATCAAATTTCATCGATTATTCATATTAGAAATACGGTACGCATGATTCGGCAATATTGTACGTAATATTATAATAAAAGGGTTCCGCGATTTACGGAAAATTTTTCTGAGGGTTCCGTGAACGAAAAAATTTGAGAATCCCTGCTTTCGAGCGATCTTCGTAATTACTACTTACGATATACGTGAAATATTATATAATTCACATGTATATGTATATATATATGTATACATATATATATATATCATATACAATATATATTTATATGTAATGGTTTCAAACCCGAAAGAGTAAGTAACAATAAATAATTAGAGGTTATAAAAAAATTTCAATACCTGCTAACAGGAACTACGGCATATATTTGAGCTTCATAAGATTATTGGAACGATTTGAATCTTCCTACGGAAAAATGTACACTGTTTAAACAAACGAAGAAACGAATTCTTATCACAAGAAACGCAAGAAAAAAAAATGGTCACGACAACGACGATTAAAACGAATTTTCCGATCGAACGTTAAAACAAAAAACGATCGCGAAGTTCGGCGTAATTAAGCGTAGTTCTTTTGTTTATACTTTTACTACGTTGTTCAAAAATATTCTCTATTGCAACGGACCAATCAACAATCATTATTATTACAAGAAGTTATAGACAAACGTAATGATATTGCGAATTGATATAATTAAATCGATTAAAATAAATAAGACGAATAAGAGATATATATAAAAGATTTTTGTTGTAAAAATTCGCGCCAAGTTCGATTCGAGAAAAAGAAAAGACGTTTTAGTTCTTCGTTGAGAGGACGCAACGACGACGCGTCGATAAGATAGAAAACTGTTTTTGTAGCGAAAAGGCTCGCCGGTCGAAGGTGTCTGACGTCATCTACGTGTGCCGTGTACTTGCCGTCACGAAAGTGCGACACGTTTCTGGAAGATAATCTTCATACGTGGCTTCCTGAGATAAATAAACAAGGTATATCGAGTTAACGAAAACATATATACGTTTATTTAACGTTAGAACAAGGCGTTGTCGGTTTTAAAGATGACTCACATTTCGTACTAAGAGTTATGAAAAAAAAACGTGTTCGATCGTGTTCTCACCCAGTGATAGTTAATAGTGTTATTTATAAAACGTTAGACAATTAATAAGTTTCTTAAAAAACTTTCTTAATTACTTTTCGATCGAATCTGAATGAGACAAGACGGTCCATCTATCGTGCTAGTGTCAGAATAATCAATCTTTCTGTCGGAGAAGTAAGGTTAAGTTTTCGGATGCACCCTGCACTCTATTGATTCACGTAGGTATCGGTAGACGGCAGCACTGTGCGCTTATAACAGCTACTACGTGCGTCGTCTGCTTCGTAGAGTAACTATAAGACTAAGAAGGCGATAGAATTATAATTGACAAAAATATTTCATTGAGTTGTATGCTAGTTATGTATAAAAAAAAAAAAAAAAATAAAAAAATAAAAAGAAAGGAAGAAAAAAAAAACAGAAAAATAAAAATAAAAATCGATGAAATATTGGTAGCTGGATCGAGCAAAGGAAAATCATCGAGTCGTTTGAAATTGGAAAGTTGATACCGTAGAAGTTACAAGAAAAGAGGTCGAAGAGAAACGCCGTGGTCGGTCATTATCGTACGTAGAACGATCCCCCCCCGGGGGCGAGACGACGTCGTAAAGGAGGAGGTACGGTCACGGCGCCGCGGCGGCTCTTCGTCGAGAGTAGCATCGCGCCCCGCGACTGAACCTCTTTCGCGGCTTCTCCATTATCGTAATTTGCAAATTTCCTCGGGATAGCAGTGAAAAAGGATGAAAAACATCGACGTGGTTTGAGCGTTCTTCATCGTTCTTCGTCTTTTTAACGGATGACGGTGGTTGCACGATTCTTGGTGGCGAGAAAGGGGAGCGAGAGGGAAAAAAAGAAAGAAAGAAAAAAAGAAAGAAGAAAAAAAGAGAGAGAGAGAGAAAGAGAGAGAAAGATAGCGATAGCAAAAAAAAAAAGGGGCAGGGGCAAGGGGAACAGGAACCGGGAGTAGACGGTGGCGGATTGGCGGCCTCAGGCTTACTCGCGGATTCTCCTTGTGATGCCGGTGATTCGCGGCTCTCCTGCCCACTAATCCTGCGGCTCCTCCGCATCGCCCGCCATCTTCCTCCTCCCTCGCATCGTCCTCGTCTCCTTTACTCGCCCCTCACTCGCTCGCTCGCTCGCTCGCTCACTCTCGATATCGGTAAAATATCCACGAGGAGCAAGGATTGCCGGATCGTTCGAGGGTAGGCCGCCGGTAAACACAGCGATCGTTCTACGTGCCGTCGTTCTCGTATTAATATAATTAGTCACCGCGAGCGTTCTTCGAGAGCCTCTCCTCCTCGATACTCTTCTTCGAGTATTTCGATTTCGCGCCTCCGGGCGCTTCCAAGCGGACTCCTTGTAAAACGATCGAGAAAAACGATGAACATCTTCCTCGAACGATGGCGACGCCAATTTTTAATTACTTCCGCTCTCGAATTTTTCTCATTTCTTATTTGTTTTCTCATTTTTCTTTACTTTTTGTTATCGTTGTTATTATTATTATTTTTTTTTTTTTTTTATTATTACTATTATTATGTTTTCGATTTTTTTTTCGTTACAGAATGGCACCGAAAAAAGCCGAAGAACCCGAAAGAAAGCCACTCATAGGGCGAGTAGGGGTTAATTTAAAAATTGGTATCGTTGGAATACCAAACGTCGGCAAGTCGACCTTCTTCAATGTCCTTACCAAAAGTCAGGCAGCGGCGGAAAACTTTCCTTTCTGCACCATCGATCCGAATGAAAATAAGTATCTGAATTTATATTTTATACACACACACACACACATACACACGGACGCACAAGCGCACAAACACACACAAGACATATCCTTTTTCTTGTTAAAACTTTTTTGGGAAAGTAAGTTTTCGTTTGTTCGTTACTTACTTCAATTCTTACGTCAACTCCTACATTGGAATAACCTGTTTATGAATAATGTGCAATCGAGCGATCGAACGTTTAAAAAAGGATAGTAATAAAAAGAAGAAAAAGGAGAAAAAGTTTTACGTCACATCGTCGTGTATATTAAAAAAAAGTTTCTTTCAATTCGTCAAGCATTACCCTCGTCAAGAATATATTCCCTCTTGGCCATCAGTTCACTCTCAGGTTCTTTGTCCTAAACCCAACATTTACTATGCCTTCACCGAAGACACAAATCCTTTCACGAGATTTCAGAATACCTGTAAATGCACGAAAAATGAATTTCAATCGAATTTCGAACGATCAAAGGAACCCTTTGTCCTTCGCGATCTTTATTTCGAGGAAGAGGCAAGAATGAAATATCTTGAAACGGAGCCAATATCTTTCGTTATTTTTGGAAAGCCAGGTGTAAATAGTCGAGAACTCGCCGTTATGATAGCCGACGGTTGGAAGTGCGTTCTCATTTCACCGGAATCTCTCATTGTACAAGAAATATTAAACAAAACGGAAAAAGGCAAATACATCGAAAAGGTATTACGTTCTGGTCGAAATTTATCCTCCGAAATAATTTTGAATTTAATTAAAAATAGAATAAATATGAGAGACGTTAGGCACAGAGGTTACGTGATCGAAGGGTTGCCTTTTATTCCGAATGATCCAAATCTCGATTATTTGTTCTATCCTAAAATCGCTGAATATCGGGTTCAATCGATGTCGAAGGATAATTCAGAAGATGATATTTTATCAACCTGCGAAATGATATTAACTCCAAGCTCGAGTTTAGATAATCAAGACATAGAAAAATCTTCGTGTAAAATACAACTTTATCCAGAGGAAGATATACCTCGTCAGATCGAAGAAATCTTTTCTATCTGGCCTATAAAACCATCTATCATAATCTACATTATATGTCCCGACGAGGATCTTTTAAATAAATATAAACTTTTAAAAACAGACTCGGATATCTTTAAACCCGTAGATTCTGTTTCATCGATGGATATTACCGAAGATATGTACTCAATTACAGAAGATAATATCGACGATAGCACAACTATACCTTCTGCAATCCCTTCAAATATATTTAAAAAGGATAGAGAATACCTTTTGCAGCATAACGAAGTGATTCAAAAAGATGTGAAAAAACGATGCGAACTATATAAACGTTTGGCATTACCTTATATAGATAAAAGGGTCCTTCTTAAAAATCCTCAGAATGTTATACGTGTGGATGGTCGTACATCTGTTTTACAAATGTTCGAAATTGTGAGCGTACGTTTGCGTACATTACCATTGCCACGATTGCTACTTCCAAAACGGTTGATAGAACAAATCGACGAGTTCGGGATGATAAAAGTAGAAGGGGAAGAAAAGGAAGAGGAGGAAGACAGAAGGCAAATTGCCTTGGAGGAGGAGTTCGAGGGTATGAGCAACGAGGATGCTTTTCGAGAAATGGCGAACATGGAGTCCGTAACTCAGAGGTTTCCTTGGAGACTGTCGCGTTGGAGATTTTATTGTCCGGTCGAATTGGCCAGAGGAAGGACCGTCACCGGTATCCCAAAATATTCTTTAAGATTCATGAAGAATATTTTTTTTCTATCTTCCAACGAAGCACTTCAATTGTTTTTAGACAATCCTAGAACCTTTTTATTACCACCTAATCCACAACCAACCTGTAAGATAGCGATTATTGGTCCGAAATATTCCGGTAAATCAAAATTGAGTCGAGAATTGGCAAAAATTTTGAATGGCACCGTTATTAATGTCGATTATATAGAAAATATTTTTAAACGTGATTGCATTAACAATAAAGTTGTCGATGCTATGCGTAATGTGATCGATGACGTTATAAACGAATTGAAAATCAAATTGAATAAAGAGAGAAAGATGAGAAAAATAAAAAGAGATGCTGATATTAAAGCATGGTACGAAGATATCGCTTCGAGTATTCAACGTTTGACAGATATCGTTCAATCGAAAAATACGATAACACCGAGCGAGGGCTACAATGACATAAATGAGGAATTGAAATCGTTGCGTAAAAAATTAAAGAATAATAATATTGCACATATTGAAACGGATCTACGTCTTATGGAGGAAATAAAAAATAATAAAAAGATTTTGTACGCTTATGCGCCAGATCATTTAAAAAAAGAGGAACTTCCCATTAGAGAATTGACCGAACACGATCCTGAAGTGTCGAGATTGTTACAGAAACGTGTTAAATATTTGTACGACGAGCCAATCGAATTGGATCCCAATGAAAAGGCTGATCTAATTATTAAAAATATAAAAAATATTCCAGACGAAATATTAGAAGATGATATTAATAGGGACGGTGGTTTTATTATCGACAATATGTACATGGATTTCGACGTTTGGACAAAAATAATAAACGATGGTAAAATTGTTATCGAAAACGTTATAATAATTTTCGAAGACCCACCGTATCATTGTCTTCTTCGAAATTGGCGATACTTTCATACAGATTACAACGATAAATCGTTAGAAACTGAATTCGAATATGAAGAAAATGATATGTACGAAGATGAGACAAACATAGAATTAGAAGGATATATTCAACATCTTAATGATTATCAAATAATTTGGAGAAATTTTCGTGATAGAATAGACGAATTCAAACAAAACGTTATTCCTTGTGATCTTGGATTAATCGAGGATGTTACTGATTACATTGTAAAACGGCTTAAGGATCGTTACGATTGGAAAGCAATTGTCATGAGCGAGGATGATAAAGAAAAAGAAAGGCTGATAGACGAAGAAGAGAAGAGAACAGGAGAGATATATCCTGTAGATGAAGAAGAATTAATGGACGAAGAAGAAGAAGTAAGAAAACCGATTATAAGTCAAACAATCGTTAAAGATAATCGTCGATTAGGTGACACTAGCGATTACTGTCCAGTTGTGTTATCAAAATATAATATTTTATGGAAAGGAAGAGAAGATTATAGTGCAGTCTTCATAGATAAAATTTATTTATTATCCAGTGAACGTGCATTAGAAGAATTCGTTGAAAATCCATATAATTTTTCTATTCCATTGATCAAACCACCGATTTTAACACCACCCTTACGAATTAGCGTCGTTGGTTTACCTGGAAGTGGAAAAACTACTTTATCGAATGCTTTGTCAAGAGAATATGGATTATTTCATGTTGATTACATCGAATGTCTTGAAAAGTATATGA